AAGGGTTTAAGTGACATGCAGAAATACGAAAAAGCACGGAGATTGAAGGTGCTTAGATGGAGATATGCCCATGAGCTTTTAGTAGTTTACTTTATTTTTGGATAACAGAGTAAATGCTTGTCATCGAATTGACGAACCCTTGCTAATTTTGAGTGCAGGACCATATAGGAAAAATCAGGGCTTCATACACCAAGGATTTTACTAGTAAAGATGTAACTAAGCGGCAGATAGCTGTTGCTACATATCTCATTGATAAACTTGCTCTCAGGGCGGGTAATGAGAAGGTATAGTGTGTGAACTTACTTCAGCTGTACATAGAGAGGCTTTTGGCCTTACTTTGTTATGCTGTTTTTACTGAACAAGGTTGTTTACACGGACAAGTGAGCAAACATTAGCGAGGGCATGGACATTTACATTTCGGTATTAACAGAGTGATATGTACAGTAATAGGATCTCTTTAGTTAGAGCAAGCATGAGAATCATAGTTTCAAACCATTTGTCCACAAAAAAGTGGACAGAATTTTTGTATGCTTGAATTTTAATGGTCGTTCTCCTACAGGATGATGATGAAGCCGATACTGTTGGTTGCTGCACTTTAAAAGTAGAGAATGTAAAAGCAATTCCCCCTAACTCGTTGGAGGTAATGGCAATGCTTATTTAGAAATTTAAAATCATTTTATGGTAGTTTTCAGTGTGTTTACCACTAGTAAATAACCGGTCAATCTTTTTTTATAATTTCAGTTTAACTTCCTTGGTAAAGACTCAATCAGATATGAAAATACTGTTGAAGTTGAGATTCCTGTTTACAAGGCAATTATACAGTTCCAGTCTGGTGAGTAGGTGGCTTTCTGATTTTGTTATTGCGTTTTCTTTTTTGTTTTTTTTTTTTTTTTTTTTTTTTTGCTGTTTGAAGTCCGTCAATGCGCTCAACTTTCTTTTTTGATTTGCTTCAGGGAAACGTGGCAGTCACGATCTCTTTGACATGTTGGATACCAGTAGATTGAATGCTCATCTAAAGAATGTGATGGATGGCCTTACAGCAAAAGTGTTCCGTACCTACAATGCATCTATCACTTTGGATGACATAGTAAGTTGATGCTTGCCTTCAACGTCTTTGAACCTTGTATTTCTCTTATTTATTTTAAATCCTCTATAATATGAAAATTAAGCTTTTTGTGATTCAGAAGAAAATTCTGAGTCTCTCACCTCAGGATGCGAGAAAATCCTAATCATCTGAGATTTCGTGCAGATTAGAAAAATTACTGTTCTTACATATACAACCTGTAATGCAGAGATGATATTATACTTGATGGCATATGGTTTGGGGAAATTTTAGAAAATTCACTTCTGTTTGTTGTCAAAGCAAATAAAAGTTGATCTACATGCATGCATTATTGAAACAGAGTGATATACAAAATTTCATGAATTGGGTGCGGTATGCAAATTGTGTTTTGGTAAAAGCTGAGGGAACCTTCCTAAACTTATTTCATTGCATAAGCATTTTGGGAGTTTGATTTGACTTTTTTAAAGCGTCACTAAAAAAAAAAATAGTTTTACATGATTCCACAAGGCATATAAAGAGTAAAGGGGGTATTGTGATGATTTGTTGGCTGAAAATCATTTATATATCTGATGACACTGTTATTGTGAAATATTCAGTACCGTCAAGATGAGGCACCTTCTTCGTCGTATCCTGAATCCTAGTTACTTAGATTGTGGACCTCATTTGTATGTTATACAGCATTAACAGGGATATTAAGGAATTTCTTTGCTTTTGACTTCTACCAATTTCTGGTTAAGTTATTCTTGTGCGGTTCCTTTTTCTTGTTATCCCGCCCCTCTCCCTTTTTCAGTTTCCTGACAATGATTCTTTGTATTTTTCCTTTCCTTTGCCGGATGGCAGTTGAACAAGAAAACCAAAGACGGGGATCTTTCAGAGAAACTCGTTGTTTATCAGCATGCAAACAAAGAGGTGTAGCAGTTAATCCTTTGAGAATTTGTACCGAGTTAATAGTACTGTTCCCTTTGACTCAGTGGCATCTACAATATTTGGCATTTCATTGCAGGTTGCCATCATTTGTAATCATCAGCGGACTGTCTCAAAGACTCACAGTGCACAAATGTCCAAGTTAACAGAAAAGATTGATGACCTTCAGGTAATGACCTTATCTGGAACTTAACTGAAATGTTAGATGGCGGCATTTGTAAAGTGAAAGTAAAAAGTAAGGTGATGGTGTAACTTGCGCCTTGGGAAAAAGTCTTGGTTAATGATCTGGGAGTTAGTGTTAGACCAACCACCCTTTCTCTATCACGTTGCTAAAAAGTATGAGAGGAGAAGTTGAGACCAGAAACCTCTTTTGTCTGAGTGGGTTTGTAGACTGATGGTCTTGAAATACATGTCTATTCCTTGCCGTGGAACTAATTCTCTTTTCTGGTTGTAGGGCATCCTGAAAGATCTGAAAATAGATTTGGACAGGGCCAAAAAAGGAAAGCCCCCACTGAAAGATGCTGATGGAAAGCAAAAGAAAAATTTGACCCCGGAAGCGTAAGTTTACTTGTTTGCTTATTTGGACCAAGTTTCCATCATCTCCGGATATTGCCCTTCGTAGTAATTTATGAATTGACACAGGTTGGAGAGGAAGATAGCTCAAACAAATGCAAAGATTGAAAAAATGGAACTGGATATGAGAACTAAAGAGGATCTGAAAACAGTGGCCTTGGGAACGTCGAAAATCAACTATCTTGACCCCAGGATCACCGTTGCTTGGTGCAAGCGGCATGAAGTTCCAATCGAGAAGGTAAGGTCTTCTCGTGAGTTTGTTCTTGAAACGAATGTTATTATCCACAGTAATTCAGCCGATGAATAGATTACTTTACATTTTGATAAGACATTTTGACTTGACATTTTCCCAATGATACAGATCTTCAACAAGTCCCTCCTCGCGAAGTTTTCTTGGGCAATGCCGGTGGAGCCTGACTTCAGATTCTGATGCTTGGAGATGTTGCTCGCATTGCCGCCTTCCCCTCCGTTCCAAATTGAGAAAAAAAATCGAGACAGTCGACCCGACCCAACCCGACCCGATCCTTCCTTCTTTGTTCCATTGTCGAACTTGACATTTTTGTTCTTTTTTCTTTTTCGTACTTCTCTCTTTCGGCGCAAAATTCTTGTTGTATGTTAATCTAATCTAATGACTGGCTGAGTAACCTTGCCACCGCCATGACATTTCATCTGTGTTTTCTTTTTCTTGGATCCCAGTAATTGTTTTATTTAAACTCTGAAAACCCTCTTCACTGATTCTAAAGATATTTAAGCTGCATTCAACGTGCACCTTTGCGTTGTGTTGTTTACTTTTTGGTCTCTCTTCTCTACGATCCAAGCCCGTCCTTGTGACTTGACGTCCTGCGTTGAGTGATGATTTTATCAACATTAAATGATGACTTTTCTATCATTAAATGATGTAGTTGACAAATGCTAAAGTTGGTCTTTATTAATTATTGTCTCGAAGCTCTAATTTTCCAAACCGATTGTTTTCAACAAATTTAAGTTATAAAATTTGCTTAGCTAAATGGCGTTGATTTGGAAATTCAAAGTTCCATAGACGACTTGAGAGTAAACCCGCTTTAATAATTGTCCACTTCATCACTTAACATTAATGAACCTAACAAATGTCCAATTTTCAAAACGTTAGGTAGCTATTTGAAATGTTTTAAAATGTTAAGACCATTTTGAAATCACTCCTAAAGATTGGATAATTATCTGGACTTGAACTGTTTAAATACCATTTTAAAATGTTAAGATCATTCACCCACTATCAAAGAAGTTAATGGAATCTAATCTTCCATCCTTAAATAAAAAGATATTGACTTCCAGGTATTTTAGTTTGATTTTTATTTTTATATCATATTCATGACGAGATGTGATTTTTACACTCTTTAGCTTTTGACACATCTTCAAATTGAATTAACCAAACGAAAACAAGTGACATGATAAAACAAGATATGTGAGAGACTAAAATAACTGTGTTTATCATATCTCATTCATGACTCTCATGAATGTGAGAACCTTCCATAGAACGAATTGGCCGCCATCATAGTCCTCTCTCCTTGAACATGGGTGTGCTATCCACACTCTTTTTTACTTCTCACATATTTTTTTAATTTCAGGTCATCGAATCAAATGAATTCAAAAATATCAAAAGATATATATTAATAAAGAGTGTGTGAGAAATAAAAAAAAAAATTGTAGATATCACATCCTGTTGAACAAAAGTGTGTGGCCTTATTGACGCGAGCTTTCCGATACATACTTGAGTGGTCTTATTATTATATTTCCTACAATGATTTCAATGGCTGATTAAAGTACGTACAAATTTTACTTTATAGATATTAAATCTTCATTATTTTGAGCACTCTCTCAAAATAAATCCATTTTCCACCCATTATGAACGTGTCCATTACTACTCATAATTTTTTTTTTTTTTATGTGTGTATAATTTAATTATGGGTGAACTGCCAATTTGATCTATGAATTAACACCTAAGTGAAATTTCAGATTCTTAAACTTTTTTCGTTTTTTTTTCCAGAAAAATCAGTCTTTAAATTACAAAAATTTGCCATCATATTATATTTAAAGATACTATATTCAATTTATCGTCAATTTAAGTCACGTTATACGCATGTGATACACAGTGGAGGGTAAATTGGAAATTTTACATAAAGAAATAATGTATGAATTTAACTTTGAAGGCTAAATTAAACGTTAGATTCGCAATCTATATGAAATGTTAAGAACTTATAGACGAGAAAAGAACGGTATTTACATTTTAAAGTGTGTAACATAACTTAAGTTGATAAAAATTAGATAAAGTAGTTTTAAATATAATAGTATGAATGAAATTAGCAATTTTAATGAATTTAGAGACTTATTTTACGAAAAAATATAATTCACAGACTAATTTTTACTAAGCTGATAATTCAGAAACTAAATCGACACTTCACTCTTTAATTATTTAATAGATGAAATTAATAAAAATCTTTTCCCTTCAAATTACAAATCTCACAGCTAAGTGGAAATAAAACTAAAAATACAAAAAAGCATAAAATTAAGAGTAATCTTCTGCCCAAATCTTAACTTCCTTTACAATAATACATTATCATACATGAAAACCCACCTCTCAATTTCCCAACAGAGCCCACCCACAAATCACATAATTAAACTCCACTACTAATTTACCCCACATATTACAAATCAACCCCCAAATTTCCCAATTTGTCTTCTTTTATCTTCCATTTTCACCCCATTCTAACATTTAATTTACCATAACAACCCCACAATATTTCCCTTCCGACAAAACGGTCATAAGCTACCAAGTACCCGCAAACAGTAGTTAACTTACTAATTCGCCCCCGTATTTTCCCGGAATCCCAGATCAACCGCCGTTAAAAAATTCACGGAGCGATTCGACCTCGAAACCGAGCAGACAACAAGGGACAGAACCGTATCAGATCGGATCCATTCAGGGTCCTCTTCTTGGGGTCCTCGGATCCGGGTTTTCCATTTTCAATCGAGCCGGAGCAACCGCCTCAGGTCTCGAGTCGCTGAGTCGTCGTCGACGACCTTCGACACCTGCTTCTTCCTCGAAAACGACGGCAACGGGAGCGAGCTCGGCTCCGGCGACACCGCGAACGCCGATCCGGCGTACATGTCGGTCTTACCGCCCACCGGAGACCTCAGATCCACGATCCGAACCTGCTTCTGCACCGTTTCCGGCCCGGGCCGGAGCCTCGCAGTCCCGGTCCCGGTCCCGGCCAAACCACCCTTTTCATTCATCTTCGAGTCCAGCGACTCTCCTCGCCGCAAGATCGTGACTTTCTCCATCTTGAAGCTCCGAAGGTCGTCGTGGGAGCTGGACGTCTTCGCAACCGGCGCCGCATCCGCCGGCTGCACCTGGATCCTCCTGGATTCGGATCGCACTGCCGCCTTTCTAGATCTAGGGTTAGAAACATAATTCTGGTTAGCGATGGGGCTCCCATAGTAGTAGCTCTTCCGGCGCGAAAATGACGCCGGACGGACTCTGATCCTTTCGATGAGACAATCCTGAGGCCGTAAGATCTCAGTCCCCATAATATCAAACCCTAAAAGCCAAAAAATCACCTAAAAATACCAAAAATATAAAAAAATTCTATATTTTTTTTGTTTTTTGAAATTTTTTATGGCCTCCTCTTCTTCCTCACATGGGTGGGGGGAGGAGGTTTTATAGCTCTGAAATATTTTTTCTGCAAATCCGTTTTATGTGTGTTGTGGAGAAATGAGGCTTTTATAGACAAGGACCGGAGGGAAATGACGTTTCCACCCGCCTTCGCTACTTGCCGCGTGGGGAGCCCGCCACATTTTGATTTTCCAAAGGCTATCCGTCCGAAGCTGACTGGGTCTTTCGCACCAGTCGGGCCTACTTGAAGTCTGTTTTAACGGAGTCGTTGAGGAGGTCCTCGGTCTGGTATCCGTCATGTGTAACGCGTCAAGTACATGGACAAAGTTGGTGAGGGAAATGTTAAATCTTTTGGTAGGGGTGGGCATGTTCCGGTTCGGTCCAGGTTCACCCTTAAAATGGAACCACAACAGAAAAATTTCAACAGTTATGTTCGGTACGGTTTCGTTTAAATTTATTACTAAAACCATACGGTTCAGTTCACGCCGGTTTCGGTTCAGTTTATGCCGATTTACTGTTCTAACCAAAATTACATATATGTTTTCTCTAATTTTCTACTTCTAATACTATACACATATTTCAACCACAAATTCATGTAAATTTGAGTTTCCACTACTAGATCTACAATATTTGTGACCGAAAGATAGAAAGTGTGTGTATACATATAAATTAAAAGATAGAATGACACATATCAAGACCAAAGTGTAGATCTTAAACTAAAACTAAAATGTATATAATGGATAATATACTGAAAAATAATGGAGAAAAGTGATTAAACAACAAAGGAGGGGAAGAGAAGTGAAGAAAAATATTGGGCTTATGCACATGGTCTTCTTGGAAAAATATCTTATTTATATAAAAAAAAATAATAAAACAATAATTTATATTAAAAGCAGTTAGGTCTAGTTCCTCCGGTTCTTAATATTTCCAAATCGAAACCGGAACCGTTTGAAATAGTTCAGTTCGATTTTTGTTCCGGTTTTAACTTTTTTGGTCAACGTAGTTTTTTATGATTTTTTTTATCACGGTTCGATTCGGTTTTCGAGTTTGGTAGTTTTTATGCTCACCCTATTTTTTGGTACTTTGTAACAAAATAATATTGGGTGGAGGGAAATATAAAAATGTCTTGGCTTGGACTATTGGGGATATTGGCATGTTGTGTCTGTAAATTACAACTCTTAGAGTGATCGTTGAGCGCATTATTCATGTTTATAAATAATTTTACAAATAAAAAATTTAGAATTTGCCTTATCATTATTCAGCTTGTCTGCCATCTTTGACCAAGTTATATTCCACATATGTTTTTACCGTTTTATTATCTAAAAAATTATGGTTTTTTTTTTTGATTTTTTGATTTTATCAAAAATAGTTTTTGAAATTACCATAACTCTTCATTTTGATATCAGAGATCTTAAATTGATATAAGTGATCACTGAGATTGTCTACCATCAATCATTTTGATCATTATATGAGAAACCTCTGTTAAATTAAGGATATTTTTATCAAATCAATCTCCTCCCCTTGAAATAGTAGTTTTCTCAATTCAACGAAGATTTTTCACAGAAAGACTAAAATAGTCTATAATAGAACAACTGTCACATCCCGGCCCGGGCCGAACCACTTCCCGGGCCCGACTCCACTAGCGTAGCACGATATTGTCCGCTTTGGGCTTACCATTCCCTCACGGTTTTGTTTTTGGGAACTCACACGAGAACTTCCCGATGGGTCACCCATCCTGGGAATGCTTTCGCGCGCTACTCGCTTAACTTCGGAGTTCCTATGGAACCCAAAGCCAGTGAGCTCCCAAAAGGCCTCGTGCTAGGTAGGGATGGGAAATACATTTAAGGATCACTTCCCTGGGCGACAATCCACCCCCCTTAGGGGTCCGACGTCCTCGTCGGCACATTTCCGGCCAGGGATAGGCTCTGATACCAATGTCACATCCCGGCCCGGGCCGAACCACTTCCCGGGCCCGACTCCACTACCGTAGCACGATATTGTCCGCTTTGGGCTTACCATTCCCTCACGGTTTTGTTTTTGGGAACTCACACGAGAACCTCCCAATGGGTCACCCATCCTGGGAATGCTCTCGCGCGCTACTCGCTTAACTTCGGAGTTCCTATGGAACCCAAAGCCAGTGAGCTCCCAAAATGCCTCGTGCTAGGTAGGGATGGGAAATACATTTAAGGATCACTTCCCTGGGCGATGTGGGATGTCACAACAACGAACCTTAAAGTTATAAAAAAAAAAATTTGATCTCAACTCAGGCTAGTTATGTATTGAAATAAACTTTATATTGCAGTAAAGTTATAATTTTTTTTGTTTTATCTTAACGAAACACGCCTCCACATAATTATAATAGTCAATGAGTATGAAATGATAAAATATACTTGCGCCTAAGGAATTCTATTTAGAAAATACAATATTCATTTAGGATAATTAAGTCAATAAATAATATTTTTTAACTACACCTCCATTAAGTAATAACTTCCCTAAACTTATAAAATTAATTTGATCCTAACTATATAACTTTAATTCACCACTAAATGAAAGGTCTTAGATTCGATTATCGCCAAAGATGAATAATCATATTATTACTAACCCATTATAAAGTTAAGTTCAATTTTTTTTCCTTTAGTATATGCCTTTTTACTATTGGTTTATATGCCTTTTTCTTTAAGAAAAACTAATAAAAAATGTTTGAAAATTTTGAGTTTTAACGATAAATACCAAAATAAAGGGTAAAGTAAATAGTATCAAGATTGACCTTTTAGTGTAAAAATATGGTTTTTCTTTAAAATAAACAATACCAGAAACTTTTCGTTAAAGTTTCATTTTCTTTACCATCCCATCAAGCTTATTCTCATGACTTTATTTTCTATTGGTTTTATATGCCTTTTTCTTTTCCCCCTTCCAATTGGAAAGCTTAAGCATGCAGCGTCACAAAGAGGGAGCTCACGAATTTGTTCCCTTTCCAGTGCTCCAAATAATTACATGTAATGTAAATGGTGAAAAATGCAAGGCTAATTTGCATGCATTAGCGACTATGAGTTATTTATTCGTGTGCATTATCATGGGTGGTTGAAAGTTGTTTATATGTGCATATGAACTTAGTATGCATCAATAACTCACAATCACTCATACACAAAAAGACGATTTAACCTAACGTAAGTGTCCTAACCTTACATTTTTCTAGTCTAATAATTATTCATCCAATAAAAAAACAATGAGGAAAATGAAAGAAAAGAAAGGAAGCTTTATAGGATAGGGGTTGAATACTCTTTTTTTTTCATAAAGAAGTGAATTGCAGGGAAGCAATCCTACTCCTTTTCTGAAGTCTCCAAAATTCATCCTCCCAAATTTGATATATCACTAAAGCTAAAGCTTTGTTTATATTTTATTTTTTTGTTTATTTAGCTCAGGTAAAGTTAAAGTTTTACCCGAAGAATCGTGTAAGATTTAAAATAATGTTCATTTTCTAATGATTGTAGAGATGTTTGGGTCACCCCTGAGGAATGAAACTGCTGTCTACCGCTTCGTCTGGTGGCTTTCCTCCATGAGAGTTCAACAGTTTACCTAACTTGTTGAGCAAATTATGTCACCTTGGGGTGGTTTTTATCTTTCTGTGGTCACTATGTGACCAACCGGACACACCAACACTGATGTTTTGGATAGTGATACCACGATATCGAGACATACAATCATATTATTGATCCAAAATGTTGATAGTGTACTCGTGCTATGAGAGAACTTGTCCACCTAACTTTCGTAAAATATTTCATCACAACCATGATTCATTTTTGGTTGTGTATTAATAAGAGTTGGAAAATTTTATTTAAACCCATATAACCTATTTATACACCCAACGTAAATTTTAAATGTGAATTATCTTTTCTACCTTATTGCATAATTACCATCAAATACAAAATGAAATTAACAATTAAATTAAATTTTATTAATAAACCCACTCAATAATCAAACTCTGCAATCATATCAAACCTTACGATCATACAATATTTATCATACATTCATTTTAGCTAAACCTTTAAAACGGTCTCATAGAGAAAAATATGCTCTTCTTGACCAAGGGATGATAATTTTGAAGTTTTGAATCCTCCAACTAATGTATGAATCAATTTATGCAAGTTTCTTTTCATTTGATTTCAATTTTTTTTAGAATTTAGAAACAAAATTAACGCCTTTTCTATTATACTTGCCCAGAAACTAAATCTAAGTTTAAGTCCGTAACAATAAATGTTCAATTTATAGCCTACACTAGAGATGTAATTTTCTTGGCTTTTGGCGGACAACTACAACATATATTATATACTAGTAGAAAAAACACTTTGCGTGACGTAGGTACCTTCGTCGTGCAAAGTCAAAAATCGTTGCCTAAGGGTTTGTGCAACGCAACCTTTGTCACGCAAAAACCGTCGCGCCAAGGCGGTGACAGTAGAGTTTGCGCGACGAAGATATAACCTGCGTCGCGCAAAGACGCTTTGCGCGACGTATGGCCTACGTCGAGCAAGGCCACTTTGCGCGACACAGAACCTACGTCGAGCAAAGTGTCCTTGCGTGACGCATGACCTACGTCGAGCAAAGAGTTTTTGCGCGACATAGGACCTATGTCTTGCAAAGTGGCCTTGCGCGAGGCAGGACCTACATCATGCAAAGTGTCCTCGCATGACGCATGGTCTACGTCAAGCAAAGAGCCTTTGCGCGACATAGGACCTACGTCGTGCAAAGTGGCCTTGCGTGACGCAATACCTACGTCGAGCAAAGTGGCCTTGCGCGACGCATGACCTACGTCGAGCAAAGGATCTTTGCGCAACTCAGGGGCTACGTCGTGCAAAGTTGCCTTGCGTGACGCGACCTACGTCGCGCAAACCCCTTTTTTTTTATGTTTTATTCAAAACTAT